GGGGTGGAGCCAGTGGAGGCAGGTGGGTCAAGTCCAAAGCTGAAGACAGGTTTAATGGTGGCATCCATGGAGGAACTCTGCGTGGTGGCAGTCGTAGCTGCGGTGGTGAAGATGACATTAGGGAGACCTGTGTATCCTGCCAGGGTAGTTGTGGAGGCTGCTGGCAGATCTGCAGCTGAGGCTGGCTGTGCCGTTGGTTTGAAGGCGAAAGGAGAGGCCTTTGCTGGAGATGAAGCTGTGGTGACAGTGCCGAAGATAGGCTTGAACATGGTGGTGGTGGAGGATGTGGAGGAAAGGCCTGAGCTCGCAGAGACAGTGACTGTGGCGGAGATGACAGCTGTACAGGGTGCTGTGCTCTCGCTTTTTGGCAAAGCACCAAAGATAGGTTTGAAGACAGGGGCCGTGGTGGGCACAGCAGCAGTCGTGGTGGGCACAGCAGCAGCTGCAGTCATTGCTGGCTGGCTGGCAGGAGGGGTGTTCAGCATTCCAAAAAGGATGCTTGGCTTCGGGATGGAGGGAGGCTTGCTGGGGGTCTGGCTCAGCTCCGTGAACACAGTAGGTGCCAGACTGCTGGGGGCCTGCACCCCTGAGGCGGAGGGGGGAGTAGGGACAGGCGTGCTCAACACGGGCACAGGCTTCATGTCAGCAGAGGTGGCAGGCAGAGAACTCGACTCCAGCAATACAGCAAGAGTGGGCGGCTGTGCAGTTGATGAAGGTGGCTGGGACGCTACCACAGCTCCAGTGGAGCCTGGAAAGGGGGAGAGAGCTTATTTAGGGACAGGCAGGGTGTCACCTATAGACAGACAGCCCTTCTGCCAGGCACCCCCCACAGCCACAACCAGACAGACCAAGCCCTCCATGCTTACCCCAGCTCCCAACAGGACCACGGGTTCCTTGTCCCCAAACTCACTCCCCCAAGACCTGCCTGCCAGCTCTGCTGCCAGCAGAGCATTTGAACAGGTAGTTTTGCCACCTGTCCTCCCACAGAGGGAACACAGAGCTCCCACCGTGCCTGCCTTCCTCTCCCAAAGTCCCGCTCTGCCAACCCTCCTCCTCTTCCTCACCTGCTGCTGCAGGCGCAGCCTGGCTGCTCTGCATCTTCTTCAGGCTGTCCAGGAGTGAGGTCGTGCTGGTCGGGGAAGGAGCTGTCGAGGCAGTTGCAGGCCCCGGGGAGGTCACGGCGAATGCCAGCGGCCTGGACACGGGCATAGTCTCTGCAGTGGTGCTGGGAACCACATCTACTGGGAAGGGGCAACAAATCAGGACCCGCAACTCGCTACAGGGGATTACCCCTTAGCAGTGCTTCCCCAGTGGCTACTGAAACTGCATGAACATCCCACTGCTCCGGTCCTGGGGAACTTCATCCATCACCCTGGGGGGCACGAGCTCTCCTGAGTCTGAAGGCACTAAGAGCATCCCTAGACCCGAGGACCAGGCAGGACCGGCCCAGGAGCTTCCCCAGTCTGCACTACACAGTTACCCCACTGCCCTGCCAGCTCTGGGCTTCTACTCCTTCCTGTCCCCTCCGCATTCCCAGTCTGCCCTTACCAGTCTTATCCTCCAAGACTTTGTTGAACCACTGCAATGCTGCCTTCTTTTCCGCATCCAGGTCCTCCGACGTGATGGAGTAGCCCAGCTGAGGCGGCGGGGGCTGCCAAGAGAGAGCAGCAGCTTAGCTCCTTCTCAGGGAAGCCGGCAGAGCCTCTCTGAACGTGTGGTGAAGGCTGGCCGTCGCAAGACCCGTGAAGCAGGTGGTTCTGCCACAGCACGCTACCGCGGAGCTCCGATCCCCATTCATTTTGGCCCCCGGCTTGGCGCTGAGGGCACGGCAGGCCTTCCCCAGGCCATTACCTGGTCCGGCAGCAGGCAGCACAATCACGCACAGCCCACCAGACACTGGGGCTGGGGATAGCGTCACTTCCCACTCGGCCAAGGACGGGGCCTCCTTCCTGAGGACAGGCAGGTCAGTCTCCCCCCAGCCCTGCAGAAATTGCAGTGAGCACATTCTATCGCCAGAGTAGGGCAAAAGGGGCTGCGAGACAGTGACGTACCAGCGCCAGCTGGTCCCCCTGGCGAGATGACAGCAACTGGATCTTCCGCTTGCGCTTCCCACTGCCCCCCGACGCGGACGGCGGGCTCAGGGAATTCTGCTTCTTCCGCACCGGTGTCTCCACCACTACAGAAGGAGACAAGTCAGGACCAGCTCCAGGCAGAGGAGGCATTTGGCTTGTACCAACAGGGTTATCCCTTCTGACTCTTCTCTGGATGACCCACCTCAGACGGCAGAGCCAGGGGCACGGCTTTAAGCCAAGGACAAGGCTGTGATGCCCTGGAAGAGCAGCTGGCTCCAACACATCCCAGGCAAGACTGTTAACAAGGGCCTGCTGGAGCTCTGTAGGGCAGCGGCCCCTTCCCACCTCTAGATGGTCCTTGAACACTGCCTACCCGAACCACAAACCACACAAACTGCGTGAGCCACATCTAGCGCGGTGCCACGGGATCCTATATGCAATGGGCACAAAGGAATTCCTCTCCATTTTAGCTGAGGAAATGCTGGAATAAGATCAGCCTGGAATTTGATCAGGGTGCTACTCGTACCACAGCAGATCTTGGCCCAAGGCTGACACCTGGACCTGTGCTGGCTTGGGGGTTGGTGTTCCCCCTTGCAAGCCAGCTCCTGGGCATGTGCTAGCACACACTGTCAGCGCCCCTTGCTTGTCACCTGGAAATCTCTTTAGGGCAGTCACTGAGGCCAGCAGAAATGTCACTGCCTTGCGACCAGCATGTTCCTAGTTTCCAGGTGACATCTCAAGCCAATCCTACCTGAAGACCTTAGCTAGCTCCTGTCCCGCAGCTTGCTTGCACCAGTGGCCCATCCAACCTGGGGCCCACCTATGCTCACCTTTCTCTGTCTGCAGCTCCTTGTCCAATTTCACTGGAGTGGAAGTGTTGGAGCGATGCAACTCCTCTTCCCTGTGCAAATGGGAGAGAGCTAGTTAGAGTCAACCCCAGGCTTGGCCCCATCTCCAGGGAGCATGATGAGACCGAACACGCTAAGGACTCCCACTAGCATCCCTGGTGTGTTTCTTTGCCTCTGCCAAACAAGAGACCTCAGGACAACAGCCTTGCTGGCACCAGCCTGAAAGCAGCTCCAGGCAGAGAAGCTGCTCCCCTCCCTGGGATCCCAGTTCGGTCAGGTCGCCGAGCCTTCGCTCCCTCTGCAGGACAAGTCAGCCTCAGGGCAGCAGCGGGGGATCCCGGATGGGAGCCGCTGCCCCTCGCAGGTCCCTGGCTTGGATCCATCCTGTCACATGGACAGGCGGTTGTGTCGGTCTTAGCTCTGACACAAGCTCATGTCCTTCTCTGATCCAGAAGAGAGGAGAAAAAAGGCCTGCGCTTCCAAGGCAGACGCCAAAATACAACCCTACTGTAGCTCTTGTGAATTGATTTTAATGAGATGGCAAAAATCGGGGCCTGTCTCTTCCCAATGTTTTGGCAACCAGCAGCCCAGGCCACGACGCCAACGTCACAAGGCAACGCTGCCTCTGTGGCAATCTGAGCCCTTAAATCTCTAACCTAGCCTGGGAGCAGGGTCGGGTTGGTGCCGAGACTGCAGGGTAACAAGGCAGCAGGGATGGCAATCGACACAAGGATATTTCTGCACTGATGGGTGACCCAGCAGCCACACCTCAGAAAGGGGCCTGGACAGTCCTGGCTCTGGTGGAGAGCAGGACTTGGGCACCAGGAAGGCGACTGCTCTCTTCCTGGCTGACATCGACGAGAGGGCACTCGCTGAGCAAGCGGCTAGTTACCTGGCTTTCTTGAGAGGCCACTCCGGCGTCTGGGAGCGGGAGGACTCTGGGCTGGACAGTGGGGACACTCTCACACCACTTCTCTTCCACACCTGGAATGTGGAGAGAGACCAGCAGTAGCTCAGCAGAGGGCTGGCAGGGAGCACAGCCTCCCAACCTCCTGCTCACCCGCAGATTAAATCCCATCTCCCAGAGCCTCTCTTGCTTCAACACTGCTTAACTCCCCTCCACATTCTGTGGAGTGCAAAGTCTGGCCACCCCAAACTGAATCCACTCTGGAAGCAAGCGGCCACCAGGCTCGTCACAGCTGGCCTGGATGAGGATGAGGGAGGACGCAGCTGGTCAGATGCTGGCTCTTGCCTTTGTGCCTCAGATGCCCTCATGTGCGCGGGGCTGCTCTAGCAGGAGCAGGTCACCTCCACACCAGGAGCTCAGAGAGGATGGATCTCACCTCAAAGTATTTCAGACTTGCCCCAGCCAGAGGAAACATTTCCCTACCAATATCCTGGAGGAAACCTCTCCCCATACAGACTGCAGAGCTCCATTAGCCATGGCTACGTCCCACCATCACATCTGCAAGCCTGACCCAGGATGTAAGCAGTGTTTTATCATAGCTCAGCAGCTGCTGAGGGGACCTGGGTCAAATTGGGAGTGCATGGCTCCAATACTTGCTGACTCCAGCTGAAGAGGTGGCAGTGCAGCAAAGTGAGGGTTTTTTTTTCCCTTTCACCTGGATCCATCTACCATAACAGACTCGCCAAGGCTCAGTAGGGGGTGGGGGATGTGTGGAAAAAGGCCTCCTCCTTGCTTTGGTGTAAAACAAGCACTGCAGCAGGACAGCTCAGCCTGGGGACTGCCCCGGCAGTGCGCACCGAAGGACAAATAACATCTCTACCTGCTGCTGCCGGCCTAGCAGCCTGTCTAATCCACGGGGAGATAAAACTGCCTGGCTGAGCTGCGCTGGAGACTCCTCACAGTGCTCACTGCCAGGCACCCAGCGACATCACTCTCTTCTTATGAGCCCAGGGTTTGAGTTACATGGGGCCATCCCAGAGGAGGGTTGAGCTACTCTGTGCTGGGCTCTGACATTACCTTCAGCATGGTGTTTCCTACCTGTGAGAGGCCCCGGCTGGAGCTGTAGGAGCTGGCGATGGCGTTACGGATGGAGCTTGGGATCCCGCCAGCGTATGTATTGTTGAGGGAGCTCACGGAAGAGGTGCGTGACCTCTTGTTTGAGCAGTCATCCAGGCAGTGTGAGACAAGGCTCCTCTTCAGAGAGCCAGGCCTAGAGGAGGTTAACGAAGATTTTATGAGCTCCCCAGCACTCTGCCCACAGGTCCTTTAAATGCAGGGCAGGTGGAGGAAAGCAATCCCGCTCTTTCTCACAACGCAGGGCTTGGAAATAAGCCTCAGCAGCGGCACAGCCCTTACGGCCACTGGCCTGTGCTCAGGGTGACAGACCGAACGCACGTCCACAGCCTCTCTTGCTCTCCCCTGAAGCTGGACTCCACAAGCAAAAGCCAAGCACCTTTTCCAGAGCCTGCAGGCTTTCAGACCCACCCCCCCAGCTCACAGTAGTTGCTTTTGGCTCATTGGGCACTTACTTGGGTATCAGAGAGGCCGGGGCACCGTTGGCTACCAGCGGCTCAAATGCTGACTGTCCACTTCCACTGCTATCATGGCGCCTGTGTAAGAGAGGGCAGAAGCCTGTGGTGGTGTGACGGCAGCAGAGACAGGGGCTGCCCTCCCAGCCTCCAGAGAAGACCCCTTCCAAGTGGATTCAGCAGTGAGAAAGCACAAACTTTGCTTTTTTTCTTGTCACCCAGTACCCCAGGACAAAGGATTTTCCCCCATCCACACCCTGCTGCAGATTTTCTCGCTACCTGGTCCTGTCCTAACTGACTCTCATCTCAAGCTGCCTCCTCCCAAGCACCAGCGGCTCCACCAGCTGCCTGCTGGGCAGAGTAGTTTTGATGTAACAAAATCTTTGCTCAAATCCATTATTCTGACAAAACATTTCAGAGAGTCTCAGCAGCTGATTTCTTGAACGGACCTAAGCTCCAAAACTCAGATCTCCTACCACTTCCTAGCCAGTACTCTGGACTATTTAAATCAGAAACCAAATGTCACTTCCCACAATGATTCAGTGAAGATTTGAAGTCTGAAAGTCTTAAAGCAAACCCTGCTGCGAAGCAGAGCTGGAGGTGTATGATCAGCCCTGTCACTTAGCCCAAGTGCTTCCCTCAAGCTCAAGCACGCTGACCCCATCACACAGGCAATCCAGCACTCTCCAGCTGATGCACGCTCCTTTCTGCCCTCAAAGGCCACAGGATTTTCTGCCTACAAACATTCTTTGTGCTTGTCAGGATTTAATGCCTTCAAAATTGGCTTTCATGGCAGAGCTGAGTATTGGCATACTAAAAAAATAGAATTAAGAAAAAAAAGAAGCTGATCCTATCTGTGCACCCATCTTGTTGCTGTCCTGCTCAGCTCTTGCAGGGCTCAGATTCACCAAGCCAAGGTAAAGGTTCAAAGGTAGAGGGAAATTCAGTGATGGAGGAGAGGAGGGCATGTCCTGCTGCAGCAGGAAGGCAGTTGGTGGCTCCCTGCAAACCGCTGCTCATCCCGCTGTGCTCTCAGCAGCCCTCCAGCAGCAGCCTCAGTGTAGCACCCAGGACAACACGCCGGGACACTGCCTAAGCCACTCTTCTGTGGTCTCTCAACTCCCCTGCTCGAGCCCAAGCAGGCAGCCTCAGCACATGAGGGGCACAAGGCAAATGGCCTCCATCTACACAAGTGGAGGATGAAAAAGAGAAGGAGAGAGAACAGCAAGGCAGCGCTGTGCCCAGGCAATTTGAAAGGCTCCAGCAGACCTTAGCACCCAGGGTTTAGGCCTTGTCCTTCCCAGAACGCTGGCAAAGGCAGCACCACCTCATTTCTTTGAGCTGGAAATCGCTGACCTTGGCTAACAAAAGCAGAAGATAGTCCCTCTTGTTTACCTTTGTGTTTTTACCTCCTTTTGCTAGCTACAGTGCACAAAGGAAGCATGCAGATCTTTTAAAGCTGTAAGACATGGGGATCCCGTCTCTCCTGGAAGCATGGGGCTGACTGAAGGATAGAGATGATAAGCCTATGGCAGATACCAGCATTTCACACCAAATTTCCCCCTTCTGCAAACCCCTGCAACAACAGAGGCTGCTTCCCTGCCAGGCTTCCCCAACCCACATCCCAGCCTCTCCCAGCTCCAGCAACGCAGGGCAACATGCTTGACCATTGAGCTTGCCCAGACAAAAACCTAAACCACATCCCTTTGATCTCAAAGACAAAAAGAACTCTCGGAGGACTTTCTGACGCAGCCTAGAGGGCTGAGTGATGGGGTGTGCTTCCTCTCCGCGGTTCAATTGTCACAGCACTTCTCCATCCCAGACTCCTGGTCACACTGGGCCTGGTGTGCTCTGGGACACATCCCATTTGTCACCACTGAAGCGCTAGCCCCATTTATGACCTTCCCAACACACTGACAGCAACCTGGACTGCTGACTTATTACCTTCTCTTGCTCTCCTGATCATTCCCAAAAGCCTGGTCCTCCTCCTCTTCCTCCTCCACAGCCCTCTTCCTGCTCTCCTTGATGGCATTCAGCACAGTCTCTTTTGCACATGGGTCCAGGCTGCTGTTGGCTGGGAAGGCCACGGGCAAGATCAACTGCTCCAGGCTGCGAGGCAAAGCAAAGCAAGGCATTAGGCCAGGTGGGATCCCCACCCCCCCGGGGCCCCCGCCTGCCACAGAGAAGGCGGGGAAGGGGCTCTCCCGTGCAGCCTCTCCAGGACGTTTGGATTGCACGATCCTCCTCGCAACACAGCAACGCTCAGGGCTCAGGCTGGGGCCAGGAGCAGCACACTGTCCCCAGGGGTCTGCTCCCTGCAGCACAACCGGCTCAGGGTCTGATAACCAGGCTCCCCGCCCCGTTCGCTCCAATCAAGGTGAAGTTCATTCGGCGCTGCCCACACGTGAGGCAAGGCCGAAGCAGGACCTGGTCCCCACTCCCGTACTCACGCTGGGGAGCGGGCCAGGCCGGGGGCTGACCG